CCCCCCCCCCAAACTCCCCTCTTAAGATAAAAAAAAGACAATGGAGGGGAAAGAACATACCAGTAACAACAACAACCCCATTCGCCTCATCCACCTGCAACACCCTCAAATTCTTGACCGTAACACTCTCATTCCCCATATTTCCTGGCATACGCTTGCCAGGCAGCACACGAGAACCCGAACCTTGCGATCCACCCGCAGATCCCATACCACGATGCATGAGCGATTGACCATGGGAAGCAGGTTGACCGCCAAAGCCATGTCGTTTCATACCCTAAATTCCCCGTATTAGCCCTCTTCTTCCTTGCAAACGTACCCAACATCACCCCTCGCCTCACGCTCGCTCTACCTAGCCCCCCCCCCAAAAAACCCCGATATAAGATAAGAAGAAGAAAAAAAACTTACACCCGCAAACCCCATCCCCCTCCCCACCCCCTTAACATCCACCCACTGCCCCTCCCTAAACCACCCCGCACCCACACACTCCCCAACACCCACCTGCAACCCCTCCTCCCCCTTGACTTTAAACTCCGCAACCCACCTCTTCGGCGCCACGCCCGCGCCCGCAAAATGGCCCAGCATAGGCCTCGTCACATTCCTAGCTTCCTTCTGGCCCGCCCCAATCTGCACAGCCCAGTACCCATGCGCATCCCGTCGCTTATGCGCCACGACTTGGTTGCGGTCGAATTGGAGGACGGTGCAAGCGGTGCGTTTCCCGGTTTCGGTGTCGTAGAGCGATGTCATGCCCTTTTTTATGGCGAGTAAGCCCGTGCGAAGCGGGGTGCTGTGGGCTTTGCGGTCGAGGGCGGCCGTGGAAGTGCTGTTTAAGGCGGGTTTGGAGGGGTGGTGTGCGAAGCGGTCGGGTTTTGGGGAAAAGGTGGATTTGATGGTGCGGATTGAGGTGTATGCGAGTGGAGAGGAGGATATGGGAGGTGTTTGGTGGAGGAGACATCGCGCTGTTGTTGTCGAAGGAATGAGGAATTGAGGTGGCGGTGGGAGTCCCCAGTTTAGAGGTATCTTGGGTGGCATTGTTGTGGGTGTGTTGGCCGCAATGCCTTCGCTGGTGGTGTGGCACTGCGATTGATGATGTTCGCCCGCGGGCATTTTGCAAACCCGCGCGGGCCCTCTCTCAGAATCGGGCGCACGGATCATGTTACGCACGTGAAGCAGCGTTCAGCCTCCCGACAATACGCTAAACCACTGCATTCCGTCTTTGTAGCCGAGTGGCTGGTACGAGTCATGCATCGTCATACGTACACGTCTGTTTGGAGCAATTGAGGAGACGAGTATATTTTTGGTGCGTTTTTGAGCAATGCCCTGTCCAGCAGGCTTGGTACCAAGATACAATACGAGACGTCACAAGTCAGATACCACCCGTTTCCTTACGTATACTATGTACCATAAACTCGCCTCGTATCCTAAAACCCACAAAAAAACACAAGAACGCGTAGCAATGGGTATCCTCCGGTTTGTGAAACGCCAATAACTCCAGGCACCCCCACATGGTGGTGCGTAATGTGACATTAAAGTCATTCGTGAAATGCGCCGAAAGCGTTCAGCGTCTTTACAGTACGAAGTCGGTTGCTTGACAGGCAGCCGAGTCTCTCAGATTCGTTCTCTGATCAATCAGAGTCAATTAGGAAGGATATTGGCAGGGTTGCCCTGAGCCACGCAGTTGGGGGGAAGCGTCTGTCAAAAATCAGTGTCTATACTGCAAATCATCGTGGGTTGTGACATACGTGAGAGACTACCGAGCCTGGGCGCACAATTGTGTTTTCACCAATCTTGACCCCTGCCTCGATGACGCAGTTGTCGCCAATGTAGACATTTTCGCCAATGTGCACCTCCTGCGCAATCTCTGTTCCGTTGCTGCCCTTGAGCGACTTGTTGTCGGTCGGCGTCTTAAGCGTTTGTATTGTGACTCTGGCGCCTATCTTGGTATTTCTTCCAATACAGATCCTCGCAGAGTCGTGAAGATGGCAATCGGAACCAATGACAACATTCTCGGCAATGTTCAGGTGGTATCCGTAATCACAAGTAAATGGCGCGGCAACAAAGACATTGCTGCCCAAATGGCTAATAACATCGTTGGCGTCTTTCCGGGGTGGAATCCATCTAGCTGCCAGGATAGTCTTGAAGAGACCTTCCCTTGTCTGCTTTGAGAATTGGTTCGTGGCATAAGCTGTGTTGTTGAAATTTTGCTGAGCTCCCATGCATTGGTGACGCTCGTCCATTAGGATCCTATCAAAGGGGAGAAAGGGTTCCCCTGCAAGCATCTTGTCTTTTTCGGATTTGTACAGCATCGAGGAAGCTGGTGGAAAGCGTACTGGTGACTGTGCAGGAGGTATATTAGTGGACAATGGCGGAGGGGGACGAGAATGCTGGTGGGCCACATGATGTTGCTGCGGTGGTTGTACGACAGCCTTGGAAGCTCTATATGTTTGTCAGCAAACATTCCGATATTTATGATGCATGTTGGAAAACACAACCAAGTGGTGCAGGCGTGCCAACGAATAAACCGGTCGCAGAGCTAGAAAGCGATGACTACTTACAGGACAGGTGCAGGTGCGGGCGCAGGTGCGGGCGCAGGTGCGGGAGCAGGACTGCTGGTAGGGATATGGCTCATGGTGTGAGGAGTGTGGTGGTAAACACGAGAGCTGTGTTGATGAAGTGGCTGTTGTAGTGGAGGCGGGGCTTGATTTTCATGACTTAGGTGTCTCTCGTGCTGGCTCGGTGGAGGTTGTCCATACTGCACAGGACCTGATGGAGGACCCTCTGGTGGGTAAGGTGCTCGAACTGGCGGCGGTGGCGGTGGTGTCGGCTCGGGCCAGTTGTTCCATGGTTTGCGGTCCTGGCCGTTTGCTGAGCGAATGTCTGGTGGTGGATAAGCGGCTTCAGTGGAGTGAGGCGCGCAGTGTGGGATGTGAGGTCGACTACAACCTGGACAAGTTGGTATGGCAGATAGCCTTTCCTTTGCTTGCAGAGCAGGTGGGGCTTTTGCAGGCCCATTCTTTGTCCATGGGACCTTGTTGGCATAGCCCTCACAGACAAAGCCACCTCGAGTGCAGTTGTTGCCTGTTGAGTAAGGTTAGGTTGATGTCAGGGGGGGGCAATTGGTAGAAAATGGTTGAGACTAACACTCTGGTTTTGCTTCATCACACTTCTTCTTTCGCCTCCTGCAAGTGCCACAGCCAGTTTTGGTGCGATTGGCAAATTGCTACAGACAGTCAGCTGGTGCCTAAGAAATGGGGGCCGAATTTGCTTACCCTTTTTCGCTTCTTCAGCTCGACTTGAACACCAGCGCGGGTGACTTCAGTGGCGCTCGTGTCATCGAGCTCAGCTTCGCCTGCGCTGCCCATGCGAGCATGCGAGTCTGACGAGATGCTGGGGCGGACGGGGTCAGCAGGACGTGGATCCCGGTGGTCAAAGTGCTGGTGGCCGGTGTGAGGTAGCTCACGGGGCTCCGTCTGCCAGCGTCGCTCGGCATCGGGACGACCTAGTGGCGGAAGACTCTGCTGCGGGGGTGCGTCCATGGTGGTGAGCGTCTCGCGGCTCATGGGGTGGAAAGGGTGTGGCAGTTGGCGTGAACCGGGGACCAACTCGCCCGGACTCCGGCGAGCGATATTGTCTTCTTCCGAGGCAGACCGCCTGCGTTTGTTGACGCTTTCGGGGGACCTGTCTCTGCTGCTGACAGTGGAGGGGCTGGTGTCACTTCTGGGAGAGTGGTAGCTGTTCTCTTGGCCCCGCGAGGCTGGACTCCAGGTGGAAGATTTGGCAACAATTGGTGGTTTTTGTTCGTCGGTGGGGCTCACAGATGAGGGACCATTCACCGATGTAAAGGCAGGCCCATGGGGAGCGGTGTTAAAGGCAGGCATATGCAGCACGGTCGACATGTCCGAGGCGCAATATCAAATTTGGCCGAAGGGACTTGATCAAGTTTCGAGACGGTTGGAAAAAAGACTACTGTGATGGGGACGCAGAGAGGCGAGCCACCACGGCACGGCCGCTGTGCTGGCGGGCAGTATGTATCGTGGTGCACAATGCAGGCGGCTGGTGGATGGACAATGAGACGGAGAGATGGTTTTCTTGGTCGTGCTGGTCAGTTGGCGGGATGGGTAGTCGAGAGAGAGAGAGAGAGAGGGGGTTGAGCAGGCGATGGCGATGGATGGACGGTTGGATGGATGGAATGGTGGCGGGACGTGCCCGTGATAGTGGCAGGTGTGATGGCGGGGAGGGGGGATGTCAAGTAGTGGCAGTTGTGCGGGCGGGAGCAGTAGTGATGATGGTCCAGAGGGCGGGAGGGATGTGGCAGGTTTGGATGGAGGAGCGGCTCCTTTGGATGGAGCTAGCTAGCAGAGCCACGGGAGCTGGTGCGCCTTTTCCATGGCGGGACCAAGAGTGAGTATAAGGCGCTGGCGCTGGGCGGATGTGGGAGGGCTGCTGCCAGCGGATGAGCAACAGGCCTAGCAGCAGCAGGCAGGCAGGCAGACAGGCTTGCAACAGAGGGCGGCTGTTCGCTCCTTGTGCTGGTGGTCCGGCCAGGATGGAAGGCGCTTCCCCCCGGTCGGGCCCTTGCCATTGGCCCGACGTGCAGACGCCCCTGCTCCCCGCGTTTATCTGCCCACCCGGGCGGCGAGGAAGAGAGCAGCAAGAAGCGCACAGAGGGTCCCGAGACGCGGTTTTCGCGATATCTGGGGAATATAGACCCTGCATTGTGGTCTCTACCACGTTTTTTTGGCGGAAAAGTCGCGTCTACAGCCCTACAGCCGTTTCGTGGGTGTAGAGGAGGGTAGAGCTGGTGGAGAGGCCGCAAGGGTGGCACAGATGGATCATCGACCAAAGCGGCTAGGCGCCGGGCAGGGCCCACCGCACCGCCCAGGCAGGCTGTGATTGGTGTGGATGGGTGGGGCGGGCTCAAACGCGCGACAATACCGCATAGCCGCGGCCAACGCCCGCAAAGACGTGTGTGTATGTAAGTAGTGTGTAGAGGCATGCATGGGCTGGATGTGTGCATGTCAGTAGTACATACACGGCATTGGCACTTGGGCGTGTTGGCTGCGGGCTGCTGGCTGTTGGCTGAGGGGCCTTGCTGGGCTGCTACATACTCGGCCTGCTGCTGCTGTCCTCCTGCTTGCCCGCCGCCGCCGCCACCGGCCAACGCCCTGCCTGCCCGCCTGCCCGTCTGTCCGCCTGCAAATCACCAGGCCCGGCTGCGTCGTCATCAGATCGGTGCCTGCGTATCGCCCAGCATCCCGCGCGCTTCCATCACGGCATGGCACACATGGCACAGCACAGCCTCCTGCTAACCGCCTGCCCTGAGCCAGCCCAAAGAGCCCAGCACCAAACAAGAAGGCGCCCAATGGGTCTCGCCGTGTTTCATTTATGAGCTCCACGCCCTCGACCGCTACGCCCGTCCACTCTGCGCCATATGTGCTACCACAAAGCTCCGTCGAGCGTGCGTGTGCCTCATACCAAACCCATATCCATACATACCGCCGCTGCCATTCCTGCCCTACGCCGCATGGTTGGCTGTCCGGCCCGTCTCGTGCCAAGTATATACTTTTGTTATTTCCACCTCCCCCCTCGCCTTGACCGTCGGCCTCGCTCGCCCGCGGGCGCCTCTGCTGCAAACTCTGCTGCCCTCCAGGAACCCGCGCGCCAGACGGGCAAAAAACAAAAAAGGTTGGAGCAGTCATGGCCCAGCGCCCAGCGCGCCAGAGGCCTGTTCTTTTGCCTCGGCTAGCCTGCGCCAGTCCGCTTGGGGTTGCACACACATGGTATGCTGAGCGACTGTAGCTCCTGCCCAATCACAGACCAGCGCGCGCCGCCTCTCCATGCCACGGCTAGCCAAAAGCCTCGTCGTTAAGCGCGGCCGTTTGTCGGGCACGTCGCCGTGTCTCGAGAGAATGTGTATCGCCATGTAGTAGGTACTTGTACATATGCATCGTCTCCCATTGCCACCCACCGCGTATGCCCTGCACTGCACCACAGAAAAAAACCCACCACTCCGTCGCCGTGGTTCTCGCGGCGCGTTCCGTTCCCGCTAGCGATCAGACAAACAACGGGGACTGCGCCGCACGGCATCGTCTCCTTTGCTGTGCAGCTTGAATTCCAATGCGCCGGATTCCCAAACAGGCTCACCCCTTGGCTTGGATGCTCAGTCAGCTCCTTGCCTGCTCCTCGCCTTGCTCTCTTGCCTTTCCGTCTCATCCTTCCGCTCTGCCGTCTGACTCGAGTAGCGAACGGAAGCGCGGAACCCACACGCGCTTGTCGCCAACGTCCTCGTCCGCCGCCCTACGCCGCCACATGCCGTCCCAGCCAAAGCCGACCCCCCAATCGCTTATGGAGCATCTTCTTCCGTGTCCAAGATGATGCATCCACCCTTCCAAACATGTCATGCGCCACCCATTCGGCATACATGCATATCCCATCTACATGCTTACTCCTACTCTAAACACAAAGGTTCGCCCTTGAACCCTCTTCGGCCCGCCTTGAACCCTCCTTCGGCGCACGGCCACCAACCACCCATTAGCACAAAAAGTGAAGCTCTGGCCAACAGCTCCCACTACCCGTGAGCCGACTTTTCTTCCATATACCGCCGCTGCCCACCACCACCACCAAGATTACGAGCAGGTTTGCACATCTGCCGTCACCGATAATCATTCTGTAGGATTTGCCCTCGGCAAAATATTGCGGCATTATCCAGACATGGTCCACATGCCGTGCAGCATACTAGACTCGATTCGACCGCTGCCCAACATCACACGCTCTCACTTGCACACACAATCAACTGCTTGCCCAGAACCGTCAAGATGACATGTGTACAACTCTCACATCTCACTTACATCGACTTGCCCAATGCTCCCCTGGTCCGCACTGCACACCATACTTAGACGAGATGGCCGTCATTGCTGTGGCGAAAACTCAAAATCCTTTGAACTTACTCTGGCGGTGTAGGGAGGATTGCCTCTTTCAACCATGACAGATGATACCAAGAACACATTAGCAGCTTTCCATCCATTAATAGAGTTCTAAAAAAAGTCAATTTCATGGTTGTGGTGGAAGAATTGGCAAGTATAAATGCACCGATACGCAACGAGATACTGCAAAGTACATGGTAAAATGAGGTGCATATGCATAAGGCCGAAGTATGCCCTTGGCTTCTTACCATGTTGAAACTATACAAAAGTGGGTCCTTCTCCAAATAGACAGTACGAACATGTCGTTGTCGAAACAGCAGGAGCTGGTGTAAACAATGCTCCTTCCATAAACACAACGTGAGACAGCTTCTACGTATACTCCGACCCTTGACCAAAACACATCCCCTCCAAGCCAATGTACAAGCTCATCTGCATCCTCGCAACAGACCCCATCAACAAGCCCACCTATTTATCACGTCTCTCATCTCCCCATCATACGTCGTCTACCTACGTAGCACTTCCAAACATCACCCCACACACCGTTTCACCTACGCGCCCTACCCATCCCACCTACCTACCCTTCCATGTAACCCTCCAGCACACATGCACACATACCCCATCGACGCAAAGAAGCATCTAATCCTAATTCGCCACACGCCCCGGCGCTTAACAATCGTTCCATCTCTCCACACACACATAACGTTCATGCGCCAGTCCCCGGGGAAAAGAACTACTCCAAAAAAAACCCATAACAGCACGATTCGTGAGACTCCCCGACGCCCATGCTTTGAAGATGATCTGATAACGAAAGTTGTAAAACTTAATCCCCTCTCTCTCCCCCATACAGCATTATCTCACTCCCCCAACACCCTTCACATCCCCCCTCACCATCCCCGCTTCCAAATCCCCACCTCGCTCCCTATCCCTGCGCCCTCCCCTCACCACACTTCACACACGCGCAGCGACGCAACTTGGAGGTCCACTCTCTCCCCCAAGCGCGCCATCATCAACCAAACAAAAATTGGAGTAACCCTTCCCCCTTCTCCTTCATCACCCTAACCTACCCGCTAACCGTTGGAGACATTACCACCAAAAAAAAGTGGATACGCGGCTATGACCATAGTAGAAGGGAAAAGGGAATTGCCCGCCGATATTTGCCCGATGGGAGGAGTGTGAGTCGCGAGTGACAGGGGGGTGGTTAGGAGAGACAGGGATGCAAGGGTAGGGCAGAGTGGAGATCCTTAGGGGTGGTTCGTACGAGTGCGAGGGGGATTGCGCGGGGGGGGATAAAGAAACGACAAGAGAGAGAGGGGAGTGTTTGGTGGGATGATAGAGATGACGATGAAAAGGATACGTGATTTTTTTCGACATTGCACGGTTGATATACGGTAAGAAATACGGAACAAGGGCAAGAAAGAGAAGATGAAGAAGATGATGCGATTAACCCATTCCCCCCTCCCGCTCATCTTTCTAATGCAAGTAAAAGAAAACACCGAAATGCATGCCCACCTACACACCCTATTTCTTTATCCCCCCCTCCTTCTTCCTTAGGCCCTCTCTTCCAAGTTACTATACAAAAAAAACCACACACCACTCGAGCAAACACCATCAACCATGCCCATCGCCCCTCCCCTACAAAATTCAAACAAGAGAGGGATGAAAGGAGCCAGATAATACAAAAGAGAAAAGAAAAATAAAAGGAACGGGATTTCCCAACTACGATCCAAATTTTGGGGTATCTGAAAAAATGCCGCGCTAAAAGGTAGTGTAGTACATGGAAGAAAGAAATGAAAAAAAAGGAAGAAAGGAAGGAAAAATGATGATGATGATGAAGATGAAAGAAAACGAAAACGGCCCAGGAAAAAATAATAATCCACCGCCACCAGCAACCACAGGTCAAAGAAAGAAGAGGTGAATCAGCTTCTTCTTCTTCTTTTCCTTGCTCTCTCCCGATCTCGCCCTCCCAAATGACCCAGCTATTGCTCATACACACGCCATGTGTCACTTTTCCAACCAAGGTGAACCTCTTCATGCTCTTTCTCTCTAGCGTGCCCCTCACTTCCTCCTTTTAACACCATTCGCGCAGCTTGCCCCTCGTCGTCGTCTGAACTTAACTCAGTTCCCCCTATCTATCCCTCTCCCATCCTCCCTCCCCCGCCTCATATACCCCATTTAGTCAACCTTCCAGTGACTCGTTAACCTCCCATCATCATCCGCATTCGAAATCTTCAGCTCAATCGCATAAAGACCCATGGTAATGCCGAGATTGATCCATCGCCAAAAGTTGCCACCTGCATCACCGCCCTGATTCGTCCACCACTCGCCCGTCACCGCACTGCCATCGCTACCATTTCCACTGGCAAAGTGCTGCATGAGTAGACTCGTGTAGACGGCGATGATGATGCTGGGGCTGAACCACGTCAGGAAGCCGAGAATCTTGGACGTTTCGTCGTCGTCGTCCAGGCTGGGTTCTTGCGATAGTGCGCGTGCCCCGCTTTCTCGGATGGCGGGTATGATGCGAGCTGCGGCGTACATGACAAATACGCGGTAGGCCAGGGAGATGATGACCGAGGGCGTAATGGTCATAATGGCACCGACCATGAGGTTGAAGCCGGTATGGGCAATGGTGGGGAGGGAACCAAGGGCGTGAAGGAGAGTC